CTGGTCTGCAATTCACTTTAAATCATAGTGGGAACGAGGCCTAAGGCTCAGCAGCAGTCATGCACTATAACTTTTTATAATTTCTTCTTAACACTGTGGGTGACCTTTAACAGATTATCAAAGAGCCAGCATGGTATAGTGATTTGAATTGAACTACGACATTGGAGACCAAGGTTTGAATCCCTACTCAGCCATATATATATATATATATATATATATATATATATATATATATATATATATAAACCCATTCCATTTCTCCATATTCTGTCCTAACAGTAGCCTCTTATCCTGAGTAAAGGCTATGCATCAGGACTATCAAACATTGTGACACACTATTTCTTTAAGAGTGAGTCATAATTTCTCATAAAATCAAATGTTTTGCCATAGTCTATAAAGCACAGGATGATTTTCTTTTTGAAATTCCTTAGTAGATTCCATTATCCAGCATAGGTTTGCTATACATACCTAGTGCCTCTTCCTTTCCTGAATCCAGGTCAAACCTCTGGCATTTCTCCCTCCATGTATGGTAAGACTTTTTGTTGTAGAATTTTGAGCATCACCTTGCTTGCATGAGAAATTAATACAATGGACTTTTTTATATCACTTTTTAAAAATGTTAAATTGATAGCTGGCATCCTATTGATGTTTCATTGTGGTGTAGTGGTTTGAATATGGAGACCAGGGTTAGATTCCCTGCTTGGCCATGAAGCCCACTGGGTGACCTTAGGCAAGTCACACCCTCTCAGCCTCAGGGGAAGGCAATGACAAGCCTCCACTGAACAACTCTTGCCAAGAAAACACCATGATAGGGTCGCCATGAGTCAGAATCCTGAAATGACTTGAAGGCACACAACAACAACAAACAATAGTGTAATTAATTTGAAATGACAGGGAGCATATCATTCCTTGAATATGCATGGAGCTGTGACCCATTTGGTGTCTTGGTTCAATTGTGCCACATTGTCATCCAATGCAAGGGTTGCAAATACATTTTTAAAATGTGTCCCCCCTCTCCCCCATGCATGGCAGGGGGCTGAACTAGACAGCTCTTGCGGTGCCTGCCAAATCTGTGATCCTACATCAAGGAGACCAAATGGCCCTCATGGAGTTAATGTGACAAACCACTACACCTTAGTGAATTCCAATGCTGCCCAAGTGGATGGGGAAACAAAACGTGAAAGGCACGATTGCCATGCACAATGCACATATGGCTGTGCAACACACAAATGCATGTGCCATGAACAATGGCACCATGTGCACAATGGCTCTGCAAGTGCAACTCTGCTTCCACAACCTTCAGTGGCTTTTGTTGTTTCTTGTTAATTGCCATCAAGTCGACTTGGACTGATGGCAACCCTATGAACGAGAGACCTCCAAGTTGCGTCATTATCAATAGCCCTGCTCAGCTCTTGCAGACTCAGGGTCATGGCTTCCTTGATGGAATCTATCAACTTGTAATGAGGTCTTCCCTTTTCCTACAGCATTATAGTATTTTCTAGTGAGTGATGTCTTCTCAGAATATGTCCAGAGTATGACAGTTTCGGTTTGGTCATCCTGGTTTCTAGGTAGACATCATGCTTGGTTTGCTCTCAGGCCCATTTATTTGTCTTTTTCGCAGTCCATGGTACCTGCAGAAGTCTCCTCCAGCACCACATTTCAAATGAACTGATTTTCTTCCTATCCACTTTCTTTACTGTGCGACTCTCACAACCAGACATTGAAATGGGAAATATGATGGCATGGACAAGCCTAACTTTAGTATTTAATTTTTACACTTGAGGGGGAGCAGTGGTTTGAGTGCTGGACTAGGACTCTGGAGACAAAGTTTGAATCCCGCCTTGGCCATGGAAGCCCACTGGGTGACCTTGAGCAAGTGACACTCTCTCAACTTCAGAGGATGGCAATCAAACCCCCTTTGAAGAAACTTGCCAAGAAAACCCCATGATAGGTCTTAGGGCCTTAGGGTTGCAATAATTTGGAAATGACTTGAGGCACACAATAACAACAAACCCTTGAGGATCTTGTCTAGTTCATTCATAACTGCCCCTCCAAGTCCTAGCCTTCTTCTGATTTCTTAACTGCCATCTCCATTCTGATCTATGACTATGATTTTCTATGGAAAATTTTGAACTACTTCAGTGTCTTCATCATCTCTTTCACAGTGATGTCAGCCATCTGTGGTCATTATTTTTGGGATGTAACTGTAGCCCTGCCTTTGCACTTTCTTCCGTGGCTTTCTTCAGTAATCAAGTTCTAAAACATCAAACTGAATTTCTGCATTTGTAAATACTTACCATGATGCCAGCCTATGATTCTCTTGATAAAAAATCCCTGCCCTTCCCACAATGCTGTTCTTTTTTTGACCTGAATCGGAGAAACATGTGCAAAGTGACTCAGCCAGGGATGCATGACCAACCTTCACTTTCATAGGTGACTAATTCTGATCTGTCATGTCCAGCCCAGGGAGTGGCCAAATTGTCTTCCTCTAGCAAAGGTGGTGGGTTGGAAAGAGAGTGAATCACTCCTCGGAAAGCTTTGGATGGCCCCTGCGCTCATAGGAAACCCGAGAAAGGGTCTAAATATAGCACTTTCTTGGGGGCACCTTGGCAGTCATCAGGTGGCATGGAGTTCAAAAATGAGTGATCTAACCATTTGAGTGTTCTTTTATAATGGGAGGGTGAACCTAAACAAAGCATGTTTGGGAAATGGCTGTGGTGGGATTTGAATTCGGGATTTCCTGGTTCACTGGCCATTCGCATGCTGAGCCACTACAGTAGCCCTCAGTGGGGCTGGTGCTATTGGAAATGATGCATACATGAACTTGGATTAGGGGTGAAAACTGGGAAGAGAGACAAAGTAATGGGCAACGGCTGTGGCTTCCATGCAGAATGATGAATCCACCCTGGGTTTTAGACTAAACTGCAAAAGAGCTATCCAAAGTCCTGATTGCAATTGCAAAACAGGATCAGTTCCTTGGATTGCTCCTTTAAAGTTGAGGTTCAGTTCCATGGATTAAGACTAAACCCCAGGGTAGATATAATAATAATAATAATAATAATAATAATAATAATAATAATGATAATGATAATGATAATGATAATGATAATGATAATTTATTTCTATCTTGCCCCTCTGCAACGCAATCGGGGCGGCTTACAATCATAAAACATCAAAGCAATAAAACATCAATGTCGACACCCTAACCCACCCGCCCCTTAAAAAAGTATTAAACTAATCAATTTTAAAAATACAGTAAAACAATAACAATAATTTACTACTGGCTGACTGCAGAACCACCACCTGCCATTGAAAGCAACATCATGATCATGAGATTTTTGGGGGAGAGGATAACAAGGATGTGGAGACGCAGTGGCTCAGCAGTTAAGATGCTGACTCTCATGACTGCAAGATTGGTAGGTTGGCAGTTCGAGGCCCAAGTGCTGTGTAATAATAGAATCATAGAATCATAGAGTTGGAAGAGACCACAAAGGCCATCCAGTCCAACCCCCTGCCATGCAGGAACTCCCAATCAAAGCATCCCCGACAGATGGCCATCCAATAGAGTGAGCTGCCATCGTTACCCCCAGCTTCTGCCAACCTAGCAGTTCGAAAGCATGTAAAAATGCAAGTAAATAAATAAGTACCACTTTGGTGGGAAGGTAACAGTGTTCAGTGCAGTCATGCTAGCCACAGGATCACAGAGTAGTCCTCAGGCAATGCTGGCTCTTTGGCTTAGGAACGGAGATGAGCACCGTTCATCTGGACCGAACAAAACTGGACAACCTTATCAAAGGGGAATGCCTTTACCTTTTAAACAAGGATGTAACAAGGCATTGCATTTCAAAAGTAAGGCAACAAACAGGTTGAAGATGGAACCTCTCTGTTCAGAGGCAGTATGCCATGGATCTCGAGGTACAGGCGAGAAGTAAAAAGGCATGAGGATCTTTTGTATGTTTTCCAAGGGCATCTTGGAACAATGTTGGACTAGGTCTGGGGTGGGAATCATGCCATCCTTCAGATGTTGCTGGACTGTGAATCCCAGCAGTCCTAGCCACTATATCCAAAGGTGAAGAATGCTGGGAGTTGCAGTCTAATGACAGCTGGAGGGCTGCAAGAGTCCCACCTGTGCATTAGATGGACAAAAATTATGTTCTACCTTAGAAGGCTGCTGTAAAGGTTACAGAGATCGTGGCCGGGTAGTAAAGTTGTTGTTGTGTGCCTTCAAGTCATTTTTAATTCCCTAAGGAGGCCCTATCATGGAGCTTTCCTGGAAAGTTTCTTCAGAGGGATTATCATTGCCATCCTCTGAGGCTGAGAGAGTGTGACTTGCTCAAGGTTACCCAGTTGGTTTACGTGGCTGAGCTAGGATTCGAACCCTGCTCTCTAGAGTCATAGTCCAATGCTCAAACCACTACTTCTCAGTTCTCAGAAGGTTGCTGTAAGGATTATAGAAATCATAGCTGGGTAGTAAAGACTGTGTAATAAAGACAAGTGGGTTACAGAGATAATGTCTGGGGATTTCCCTACAAGAAAGATATCCAGAAGTGGTCCCTCCACTTCCCATGAAGTTCCAGACAATGGTGTCTTCAGTGTCAGTGGGAGGAGGTTTGCCTTTGTTGTCCTCTGAGGTTGAGAGAGTGTGACTTGCCCAAGGTCACCCAGTGGGTTTCCATGGCCAAGCTGGGATTTGAATCCAGATCTCCAGAGTTCTCTCTTTGGATAGTCCCTTTAAACTCAGCTGAGAGCTGAGTCACTCCTTCAGTTCCCATCAATTTCTCAAACATTAGCTGTAATTCATAAGAGTTTGTAAATATACAAAATGAGAAAAAAGGATAACTTTGCTGGAATAAGTTGCATCGTTTTCCTCATTAATGCAATACTGCCATCTATGGGATTAAATTGTTAATACCTGCATTTATAAAATGTCTGAGGTACATCCCCAGCTGCAGCTCATCCATTAAATTTACTTTTAAATGTACCATATTTTAAAGGGGTGAGCCAACATGGGGTACTGGTTTGAGCGTTGGACTATGACTCTGGAGATCAGGGTTCGAATCCCAGTTTGGCCATGTAAACCCACTGAGTGACCTTGGGCAAGCCACACTCTCTCAGCCTCAGAGGATGACAATGGCAAACCCTCTTTAAAAAAACATGCCAAGAAAAACCCTTTGGGTCACTGTGAGTCAGAAATAACTTGAAGGCATATAACAACGACAACAATTTATTGGGATGCATCTGAAAACGTGCTTATTTTCACTGGACAAAGTCTGTTCAGCAACTTGGATAACTTTGGAATGGGGAGATCAGAGAAACATGGGATCTTAGAGTTGGAAGAGGCCATAAGGGCCATTTAGTTTAACCTCCTGCCATGCAGGAACACACAAATAAAGTGTCCCTATCAGTCCCTATCAACTCCCTATCAGTTCGCCTCCTAATCAATTTGTGACCGCTGCCTCTTTTTTGCTTGTCATTATTGTGTGTTTGTTTTAATTTGTTGGCTTTTAATCTTTGCTGGTTTAATACTTTTTTAAGGGGGTGGAGGGTATAGGGATTTGGATGTATGGTATTTTATCACTTGTAAGCCAC